ATCAGAACGGTTCAGCCCCGGCTTGGCCAGTTACGCCGGCTATACCGGTGTAATATTCATTTCCCCCACCCCTCCCAGTAAAAGCCCTTTCAACGGCTCTCTTTCGGTCTCTCGGATATCGGAAAAACGAGGCATTTCCGTTGGTAAATGTCACGAGGATAGGCGGGCGGCCAGCGGCCACATATTACCAATCAATTTGCCTCTGTCGATAGAGCGAAAGACGGCTGGTGGGCGAGAGTGGAAGGAAGATGGGGTGGTGGACATCGGCCTCGCGTGGCATATACGTGTGCACGTGGAAAAGTGGCCGTTCCATCATATTTAACTCGAATAGCCAATCACTCTTGTCACTGGCCGAGTGATAGATTATTTTAATCAAGTTATTCCCTGAAATTCCCGATCATCCTCCCTTCTCTCGCGGAGACGCTCGCGGAGAGTACATAAAAATCGAATTAACCCGGCGTAAATGGAGCCCTAATCTGGAAATCGTTGCCACGTGGTCCGCCAAGGGTTTGCCAATCGGTTTGCCCGGGGTTTCCGGTAATTTCCACCCGGCACCACCTTCGATAATCTATTTTTTAAGCCCCCTGACGAGCGATTGATTCGTCTGGCGACTCTGCCAAATGCCCGCCAAACCTTCCCTACCCTCCAAAGATTTACGGGCCGTGCCAGACTCCTCCACGCGTTTTAATATCCAACCGGCTTGGAACTTGGGAAGAGAGAGAGAAGATGGAAGATCTCGCCTCGATCGGTAAAGTAAATTTCGGGTAATAACGGGTTTTTAATGGGGCCTAGGTGGCGCTAGTTTGATCAACCTCGACCAAACTTATTCAGGCAAGCTCGGAATTAGAATTTTTATAAATTTCGATTCCACGAAGGGTATATAGTAGGGTTCGATGAAGGTTGATTAATGGAATTATCTTTCGATGGTTTCTCTCGGAAGCGATTAGCACAGGCGCAGGGAGAAGAGGATATTACGCGACTCGAATGAAACCTCGATACACTTTTTTTCTCCGTCGTTTTATTCCGTGAAACAGTGTTCCTGGAAGCGGTGGTCCCCTAATAGAGCTTCTTATTTAATCCCCTCTTATTTCTTCGTAATCGAATCTCCCCGCGGTGCGTTCTTTATTGCGAAGATCACGAAGATACGCGTGCGAGGACGGTGCGTGTTTCGTAGTTTTTAAAGTCACTCCTCCCCCATTGAACTCCTCCCCCATTGGTTGTGTCTTCTAATTTCCAGACCCAGAGGACTCGTAAATGCTCGTACGGATACTGGATGCGATTCAACGTTCTCGTTTCTCGGTGTTAAGTTAGGACAGGAAACTTGATTCTTGGAAGAGCAATTTGCTGATTTTCGACACGCGATGCAATATCGTAATTCCCTTCGAAATGGAGATTCGCCTCCTCTTAAACGTACGTTCAACGTGTGTTTTCGCTCTTCGTTTGGAAAGGATAATTGGATTGGAAGAAAGGAAGAAAACCGTTAATCGATCTTTAACGTTAATTAGAACGTGTGTATCATTCTTTCACGAAAATGCAAAAAAATATCGTTTTTATTTGTGCAATAAGTAATTATTTACTCATTCGAACTTGTTAAGGACTAAAATTTGTTAAAACAAAAATCGTTAAAATTATCTTTACCTCGCGGTGTTTTAAGCTGATTTCCATTGAAAAGATCAATAAAGTGATAATTAATTGGTAATTATATCAGACAAGTGGCACGAGAGCAATGCATAACTTTTAATTTCTGTCAATTATATCGCGGCTTCCTTCACATGACTCGCACCATCATCGTTCAATATTGTATAAAAGTGGATTTTGGATTAGTCATTTCCTCGAGACTATCGTTTTTTTCCTTTTTCTTCTTTTTTTTTGCGGATGAAGAAGAATTTTTATTCGTGGGCTGAAGTTGAATGGGATTAGGATTAAGGGTAGAGAATTGTCTCGCGTTTCGAGGAACTTTGATAGCTTGATGGATCGATCGGTTTGTACTGGCTTAGCGACTGTTTATTGGATTTTGATTACTATTTTCTTCTCATGCTTACGATACGTGGAAACTTTATTTCGACGACTCTCTTACAGATTTATTTATTTTTACAATTGAGAAAAATGTCGAGAACAAGAAATGTTGTAGAATTTTTTTATTCTAACAGGAATAATTAAAATTGGATTTAAAAGATTTTTACTTTTTAAAGATGGATCGTGTTGAAAAGAAGAAATAATTTGCAACGATATAGCAAGGGAAAATTAAATGGAGTTATTATGAAATACTCGTTTCGAAAAATTACATCGTTATAATAAAAAGTAACGGGGATGTATAATAAATGTAAAATAAATTAAATTATGCAATACCAAGTATAAAAAGTATAATAAAATGTACAATATAAAAAAAAAATTTACGAAATACGCGTGACAAATGTAAATGAAATTAAATTATGCACCAGATGTTCGCGTGGCAAATATATACGTTCACACGTATAATGCACGGAAGAAAAGAAAGAAAGAAAGAAAGAAAGAAAGAAAGAAGAAAAATACAGAATTAAAAAATATGTTTCTCGCCTACATCTCAAGTACTTTTCACCCACCTTCGAACGCTCCATAAACGACGTTACATCGATCAAATATCGAGCCTTTACACGCGTATCTTTTAACTTTGGTGAAGATCAAGTTTATTTTC